TATAGGTATATTAATATATGAAAAGTATCCACCCTAGAATATGACTCAAAGTTCAGCAAATCTTAATTGAACCTTATGCAAGATTGGAGATGAAAATTTGTGAGAAATATTTGAAAAATATTAACAAATTAAGAATCCATATTTATACAACAAATGATTTTACCTAAGGATATTATGAAACAATCACAGATGAAAAATAGTGTTAAAATAAAATTAGTTGAATAAATATGTAAATATCTATCCATAATGCAAGGACATATTTTGAATTTTGCAGTGCTAGTGACTGCAAGAGAAGTATGTAGAGGTTAGAGCTTCTAAGTCAGAAGTATCATGTACTCGACACCAAAGAAGTGAAATTTGAAACCCTAATAAAATTAAGGTTTTAAGTGATTGTTCTAATATTTTTTCAATATGTGAAAATGTTTTTGCATGAATCTGGTAACATCATAACAAGTTATCATATTTTAAATTTTTTGAATGAGATTTAGAAGTATTGAGATATGAATAACACCATACATCATTTTTCCAAGGCTTCTTAAATCCCATTGTGTCATTTTTTTCCTATGTGAAGATAGAGAAAGGTATATTAAAATATTTTTCTTTTGGAGTACTTCTATCATCATGGTTAATAAGGGCAACCTCACACATATATATGAGAGGAAAAATTCAATTTAAAATTGCTTTAAGGTTAACCTTTGAATTTCAATATGATCAGAAGAGTTCCATGACCTTTAAATTTGATGAAAAGAGAAAGCAGATATTATTCTCATTATTTTGTTTAGAAGTCTTACCAAACTGGGTGACTCTAAACAACATTTCTGCAACATGACAGGATCAGTTGATATAATTGATCATTGTTACTATGAAAGATAATACCTAAAGATTTTAGTACATATTCAGTATTTTACATCTGATTTCGGTTCTCTGTAATTATCACTGTACTACTTCAGGGCTATCATTATTTTGGACAGATTAATTATATGTCTTACATTTGTGCTATTAAACATAATAACTTTCATTTTAAAGATTATATTTTATTCTGTTAGATAAGCCTAGCTTATTTTGATATTTTAAAAGTGTTTATGATGCTTTCTTGTAATGTTTTATACTATTACCTTTATACACAGTGTTCTTGTAAGCTGTAGAAAATTATAATTGAAACAAAAATACAGTAGCTTCATAATAATTATAAGAACTACAGGGCATGACAAATTAACTATGTGTTTTATATAGTCACATTCAGGTGAGAATTAAGTATGAAAAATAAATAACTAAATAAACCATTTAGTTTGCCAGATACTGTCTAAAGAACTTCTAGCTAGGTTATTGAATCTTTAGAGCAATGTTGGAATACATATTATTATTCTCATACTAATAATTAAAATTGAATAATATTTGGTACAAGTATAAAGTATGTGGGAGTATAGTATTTATGTCAAGTATTTCTTAAAGTACAGTTTGTGAATTAGTGCATCAGTTTATCTCTGTATAATATGGATTCCGGACCACAATTTCAATATGCTTACTGAAATCACTCATGTGTGAGACCCCAGAATATGAACTTTTAACAAAATTTTCAATTTGATGACCATTATTCTAGTTTAGAACATAAAGCAAACATCACAAAATATATTATAGTTAAGAGCATTTTATATATACAGTTATTGTGGAATTAAAAGAATAACAAATAATCTTTTTGCTCAATGTCTATAGCTTAGGAAAGAATAAAGAAGTCACAGAATGCTAAATCAACAACCATTCATCAGGGGACTAAGTTGCTACACAAAGCTGCTAGGAACAGTGAGAAAGAAGGACAAATGATTGGTTAAATAATCGAGAATCTGTATCTGTCTAACAATATTTAGTTAAAATTCGTGAAATTATAAAAACTTCTAGTGCTGTTATGATAGGATAAATCTGATTTTTTTAAGCTAAAGGGAAGCAGGAAACAACTGTCAAATATTTTTAAAATGAATAATACACATGTGTTTGTGATGATTACAAACACCATAAAATACCCTAAACTGAAGGATTTCTTGGGAAAGCCATGCAGAACTAACTTACAGGTAACTGTTTCTAGATGAGTTACAGGGAGCAATGGATTGCAACAGGGCAGGTTGAAAGATGACCAGAGCATGCATTATGAATTTTTCTTGAGGAATAATGAAAATGAGAGAGCGAATGCCAGAGAAATTATAGTGAGCATGATTATGCAAATAATTCAGTGAGGAATTGGACAGGAAATTTTGATGATCTGCACACATTCCATTTCTTAAATGCTCTGCCATTAATGGCTTTGATCATTGTAGTCTACTTAAATATGAAGATTTATGAATTTCTATAAAGATGATAAAAATACTTGGTCTTAAATCAACCATTGGAAGAAAAACTTGTGGAGCAGCAAATGCTTTAAGTTGTAATTTTGTCAGGTAGGAAACAAGAATAATGATTTCTATTTGATTTAATATCTCAAAAGTGATTACTTTTTAAGACTGGAACAAATGCAGAACAGTGGAACATATCTTATTTTATCTTTGGTCATAAAACATTTTATAAGTAGTAGAGGGAGAATCGCAAGGTGATCATCAGCTGATTAAGATGTATAACTATTAAAATTAATTATTTCCCAATGCAGTCTTCAAGAATTATTTCCAGTATGAAATAAGTAAAACATTCCCTGAGGAATGGGAATTTAAATGCACTCCTATAATTTAAAAGAGAAGAGGTTTGTGACCACTAGAAAGTGTCTTTGTGTGGGGGGGTTTCAAGCCACATATAAATTAAGAAATCATACTATATTGTTGATAAATGCTATCTATCTTACTTAAATAATTCCAGAGTATACAATAAGAATCACACTATCCTTATCCTCTTTATTTAGTAATCCCTATTTGCCAGTATCTAGCTCTAGAGGTATATTTTCTCATAATTTCCTAAAGCATTTAAAATACGAGTGATAGTCAAGTTAGAGCAAAATTGGATCAATTAGTATTTAATCCTCCAATTCCTAAGCAATTCTACCTTCTGACTTCAAAGCATGTCAGTGTAATGATGAGCCCCAGAGGTTCTTATCTGTATTAGCACAAAAACAAATTTCTCAGGTCATTTCTTTAAGATGAATCCCAATTTACTTTGGCTTTTTTTTTTAATGAGGTAATGTAAAGAGCAAATTTTTGGTATTTTAATAAATAAGTATATAATTGCGTTCAGACTTGTATAATCAGCCATATAATTAAATTACTGTATAATCACTATTATTTTTTTCATTGGAGCGTATAAAACATTTTCAGTGGTCTATTAGGAAGATTTGACAGATATAAAGCTACAATTAAACCAAAAGAATTTTACAATCATCAGCATTTATTCCAAGAATGTGTTGACAAAGTGTTCCTAAACAACTTACTGTGAATTACCTATGGATTCTTGAGAATTAGAATCTGTGAAAAATTGGAATATTTTTTCTAAATAATTTGCCTACAAAAAAAAACACAAATGGAAAAAAATAATAGTCAAATATTTTATTCATTGTCTACTTTATCCTACTTATATGAAAATGTGCTCATTACATTACCCCACTTCAATGATATAGTGTAACAGATCCTGTTTTTAAATTATTTAACTATTTTAATGATTTACTTAGAATATGGTTTTTATGATTGTGATATATAGAAAATTATATGTAAGCTTTATATTAGGTAACTGAACAAAAAGTTGGACTAATGCATGAGTGATGGCTGGAATCATAATATAAATAATAATGTTAATTTTCATTTAAATCATTCTTCATGCTCATAATTTTATAATTTATCATTATTAATCAAATAACTATACTCTTGGACAGGATATTCTTGTCAATTATGCTGAAGGTAATACATTGCTTTTTTGAAACACATTTCTGTGTCCATGATTTGAGTTTGTCAGTATAATGATTTTATGGAATTTACCCATGTTTTATGACAGCCAATGATGCTTTTACAAAAATCACAAATAATGCACATGGCATAATAGAAACCTAGTTTATAAAATAGCTTCAACTATCTGAATTGGCTGTGACAGAATTGACAGAAACCTTGAAATTGCAGTTATTTAGTTTGGCCCACTGCGCCCAGAAAGACCCACTTGGAATGGTTCTGGAAGCTGTTCTTTTATTGTGTACAACTATTCTGGATATGGTAGCATTTGACAGTCATTTTAAATAAGAAGTGAGGCCAATTAAATTGTTTCTCTGTGGATTTCCTCTGACAGATTCATAGAGGCAGCTGTGTTAGCCAATATACATTGTATAAGCACAACTAAAACTGTTCCAGCATTTATTTTGATGCAACCACCTAATTATATAATTATGATTTATGTTTAAAAAATTAATTTTTAACAGAACTATTATCTGTATCCTCTGCTAGACTTTTCATAATAATCTCATGGTACCTACATGGGGAAAATTACTTTTGTCAATAAAAACTTGAACAGATTCTCTTGGCTTCATACTAATAGAAATATAATTTAAAAAAGGAAAGGCGCTATAATTTCCAGTCTCTGGTTAGGAAAAACATTCTGCAACCTGAACTCTGAGAACAGATTACCATTTGCACCTGGTAGTTATCTCCACCTTGGGCTTTAGATAACCAGAAAAGGAAATCATAGAAACTTATAAAGAAGGATTTGCTTATTATACAGACACAATTTTTCTAACTACTCTCAATGTTCAGAAATTCTTAATCTCCAATTTTTAGCATGACTTCAATATTGCTATTAAGTGTGCCATTTTAAGTTGAACAATGAAGAGAAATGGCTATGAATCTAAATTTTAAAAGGTCTTTCAACAAATGATATATAATTGGACTTACCCTCAGCATACTGACAATATGCAGAAACCTCTACCTAAAATTTATTAATATGTGATGACTGGCTGCTATGTTATTTCATTTGTAGTTTCTATATTAACAGGCCCCTGGGTTTTTCTATTTACTAATCTTTTGTTATTCTTGTTCTGATCTTTGTAGATGCTCCACCAATTGGTCAGGCACACAGTGTGAGAGGCCAGCCCCCAAAAGCAGCAAATCTGATCATATCAGCACAAGTAAGTTCTTCAGAATAATATCCTCTGTGATCTACCTAGTATAGAAATTATATCTACATACATGTGTATATATGTGTGTGTGTGTTTGTGTGTGTGTGTGTGTGTGTGTGTGTGTGTAATGCCATTATTGAGGGAATGGACACTTAGAAAATCTTCATGGAAAATCTTCATGGATGAGGCTCTGAGTTCTCCTCTGGTTGCAGGATTCAGCATTTGTGAGTGTTTTAAGGCAGTTTTCATGATACACATCTGCAAACTAGCATTGACTTTTCTTAAAAAATGTTCATCAGCTACAAAGGCTGCAAATACCACAATGGATATGAGAATGCTTAAGGAAGAAAAGTGATTATGTTTAATTAGAGCAAAGTGTATACTCTTGAAATGCATTTCAATGTGTTGTTGAAAAACCAGACTGGATTGATTAGTTTAAAGAGACATAAATTATCAAGCAATTAATGATGACTTATTGCATTTATTTTGTCTTTAAAGTAGTTGTGTTAAAATGTATTAAAATATATATCACCAGGTTTCTGAGTATGAAAAAGGATATAAAATATCACAGTCATAATTTTTATAAAAATTATGTTCTGAAATGATATTGGCTAGATACTTGATCAGTGTGTAGATTACATAAAATGAGGAATAGAAAAGTAAATCCATAAACCATGTTGATACAGATGTACTCAAAAGTTTCCCAGTAACTGAATCCAATATCATTCATTTTAATGTAAATTAATTTAAACAAAATTAAATGCAATGTTCAATTCACTGTCAAAAAAAAAATGTGTGTGTGTCAACATTTTTCCAATCCTGTTTTGTGCAGCTATAATTTGGGGGCAGGTTTATTGACATTAGCATTATGTGTCATTATTTATTTTCTGACTTTTTTAAAAGCTGTTATGAAAAATTTTAAAAGAGAAGTCCGAAGAAAAACTTCTCAATTCATACATATTTTTATTAATTTGACCATAAGTGGAAAGAATTCAAATAATTTGTAGTGTGCACCAAATGAGTACACTCTTCAGAAGGAAAAATAATATCCCTGACTGATCAACATTTACATCAGCATTTTTTTACTAGTTTTTTTTTACTGGATGGAGACACAGAATGCATAAAAATAAATGAAAAAAAATACATGTTTTTTGGAAAAATAAAGATACTAAGAAACTCCCAAAGGACATGATTTTTGTATCCTAAACGGAGGTTCCAGTGTTTGCTGATATACCTATTTGTTGTCTCTGTTTGCAAAATAGTTTCTATCATTACTTGAAATTCTTCAAGCAACATTGTCCAAACTTGCATCATTCACAGATTAATTTGGCTTTTAATCATGACCATCTTTTAAACATGACATAAAGGTCTAGAATAAATATTCTGGTTGTGAATATTTTAATTTGAAGAGGTGAGTAACCCTTACCTCTGATCTTTTCATGGAGCATTTTGTATTTAGCTTGGAATTTGTTTGCCATCATTAGGTCAGGGAAGTGAGCAGCCCTTAGGGAAGCTATGGGCATATAATTGTAGGACTAGAGCAATAGGGTTTGAAGAATTGTTTCATAAAATATTAGATGTGGCCAAATATGCCTTTTGAATTTGACACACATGAGGTAAATTAAAAGAAAGTACTTCCTCTTTTTTCTTCCCAAGATCTTATGGCTCAAACCAATATTACTAGTAAAAATTTTGGAGGCATAGTTATTTAAATGTGATTTTGTAAACTATTTGCAAAGCTCAACAATCATTAAGAGCTTTTTTTAAAAATAAAAAATGTACTTGAAGTTACCAACCTATAATATACATTGAATTTATAAATTGGGATTTTGAAGTTTAGGTGCTTCAACCTTTATATTTTAGAAAGTCAAAATTAATTTCAATTTGATAAAATTCTCAAAAAGTAGAAGAAAATAGAATAGGATGTCTGTTGAATTTTCTAAATTTAATATAAGGTCCATCCGAAAAGGGAGAATTGTCTGGAAAATGGTTCAAAGAAGGATGCTTCAGATGTTTTATTGGGGAATCGTGTCTCCAATTATGGGCAAGAACCACCCTCATTACAGGCAACAGTTCTTAAATAAAGCATAACAAAAGGGAGGATTTGCAAGCAGTTGTAACCTTGTTCCCAAAGATTCTGTGGCTCTTTCTTCCATCACTGATTTAAAGTCATTAAATTTAATGGAAGTATCAATGCACATTGAAAGGGCTATTAGCTACGTAAATGTCAAATTATCACAGACTAGAACAAAGTTGATCAGATAATGACTCTATTTGAAGGTGTTATCATCAGACATTTTTTGCTTAAAGAAATTTGCCTTAATAGAATTGAAAGGAGGAAATAGATAAACTAATCCTTGTTATAGTATGAGATTTACTTGTATTCTCTCAGGTGAAATCAGTTATTTTGAATGGTTGCCAAACATTCCTCAAACATGAGCGTAAGTCATAGGAAATCAAGTCAATAAGATTTATATTTTAAGACTGTGTTTTCAAATCTGCATTTCCATTTAAGTTGAATATCTCATAATCATTGGACCTCAGCATAGTCAAGAATATACTGCCTTTGTTCACCCAACTACTGTCAATTAGCATGGAGATTTACCTTTCTAATTCATGCACAGTTTTCTTAATTATCTTGGAGTAGTGGTACAGGTGTTTTCTGGCCCTTGATGTTTAAAGTATCTGAAAATCAGCCTGTGTAATTAGGCAGATTATTATCCCAGGGCTTTGTGCTTAGGTTCTACTTGAAAAAGCTAGTTTGACTCTTCTGAAGATACTTTGAAGAGTTCTAAACTCAAGTTTGATAAAATATTCATTACATACCCCTATTTGAAATTCACATAAAGTTTTCAGAGACCGGATGCTCAAAGTTTGAATTGTGCCACTTCTGGTATCTTCTAAAATTAAAGAAGATAAAAATATACTCAACATTCTATGGGCCAGTACTGTAGAGATGCTGCAGTTTATAGTAGAGATGTGATACCTGTCAGGGAGTCATTGTTTTTCTTTTCTTTCTTCATCTTTATCTTTTCTACACTACCATGTTTTAATAAGGAAAAATAAACTGTCTGTATGACATTAGGAACCACAAATTAGCAAATAAAAGGATTGAACTGAAAAAGCAACACAACAATGCTTTTGCCCTAATTCTCCCAAAGCAGATGTTTATCAAATTTCTACCAAGTGCCAAGAACTATACTTGACCCCAGAGATAGATGATTGCAAAAGGCAGATGAGGCCTTTTCTCATGAAGCGGAGATTCTAGTGGGATAGACAGCAATAAAGAGAGGAAGCAAATAAGAAAATGTACAAATTAATAAACAATTGTGAAGGAAACAAACAAATGTAGCAAAGATCAAGCCTGGCCAGGGAAGATTGAGGTGAGCAGAATGGTTTTTTTCTAGAAGTACACATGACCAGCTCATTTATGTGGCTTACCATTCTTCACAGCCTCACCTGGTTTTCTCTACCCCGACTATATGGTATTCTCCACCTATTCTCTAGCACTATGCATTCTACATACCAGCCTATTTGCTCTTCATTAATGTTAATCCCCCAGGTTTTGTACTGTCTTCAGGGAACTGAAGAGGACTCTTCCCTCAGGTCTCACAGACACACTGTTCTCCTACATCCACATCATGTTGGTGTACATCCTTTAAGGTCCCAGGGCAGTGCTTAGCTTCCATAGAGTAGTATTTCTGGTGTGGAATAAATCTATTTCTTTGTCATCCCATGATAACAAGCAGTATAAAAGGAAGTTCATTTGTATCTTCTGAGAAAGGAGAATACACATTAGTGTATGGGCTATAACAAGCACTTAAGATAAATTTACTAAGTGAAAATCAAATACATAGATCCCAGGACATACTTAGAACTGTGTGATCTGCAGAACAAAGAGAAGCAAACTGACCATGCCCTCAAAGAGCTTAAAATATACCAGTACCAGACTGGGGTTTTAGTTCATTGATAGAGCACTTGCCTAGCATGTGTGAGGCACTGGGTACGAACCTCAGCACCACATAAAAATAAATAAATAAAATAAAGGTATTGTGTCCATATACAATTAAAAATATTAAATGTGCATACACACACACACACACACACACACACACACATATATATATATATATATATGCAATAATTGTGAAAAACATAAAATACAGGCATGAACAGGGTACTATGGGAAATACACATTTTACATTATTCATTATAAATGTATGTAGTACTGTCTATTATTGACATAATCCTATTTATACCATTTTGAAATACTGTTGATGACATCCATTTTATGGCTGAGTAACCTGAGACAAAGATAAGTACTTGCCCAAGTTTATGTTGCTAGTAGGCTTTGAACAGAAGTAGCCTGGCTCCAGTCTGTTATCCACCTCTCCTAGGAAGGAAACTCTCCTCTATAGCAACATGGTAATGTGGTTCATGCTTTTAATGAAAACATGATGCATAATGAGGCTTCAGAACCATGTTGCAAAGGAATTCTCATTTTATTTTATATGAAAAAGTTACTGAGCCAATTCCTCTACTCTTAACAAGAACAGTTCATTTTGTTTTTAATCAATTTATAATCATCCATCAGTAATGTACTACTAAAAATAACTTGCAATAGGCCTGGATAGATTTTGTTAATAATACAATATTTACATTTATGGCTAGATCTGCTACTTGGAAAAATACACATTTATGATTTTTTTTAAAAAAAAAATTGTAGTTGCTAGTTGTTTCCATCAATATAAAATATTTTACAAGAAAAAATTTGCAAACTGATACCTTGCATTATTTATTGTTGGCACTAAGCATGAATGCAGTTACCTTGATTGGTTACATAAACATATCAGAAATCTAGCTTCTTAGAGCTGTAATATATGGGATCACAACTGCCATCAGTAGTGGGAAAATAAAAAAGAAATCCTTTGGTTTTTAGCATGCATAATTAATAGCTTTCTACTTTATAGGAATGACAGTAACTACGTGGGAAAAGTAAAATCTAATTTTCTAAATTATTTAACATTTCAATAGGCAAAAAGAAAATTTATATAGCTTAGAACCAATATTGGTAGATATTTCACATCTATCGATTATACAAATTTTAGTAGAAAAGAATAAATAATGAAGTGAAGATATTTATACAGTCACGATCAATCAATTGAAGTCATAGCTTATGAAGAAACCAAGCTGTTCTTTGATATTTAAAATTTGTGAACAAATGTTAATTACTATCTAAGGTGCCAGATTCTCTGCTTTCATTAATTGCTAATAAATTACATATTCGTATGAAGTTCACTTTCCCAAAACCAAAGCGGTATTATAATATCAAACTCACTATGTTGTATAGTTCTGGTAACATGAAAAAACAGTTAAAGAAGTGACTCATATTTTTTCTTATATACAAGAGCTTGTTATTTGGTTATTTTAGGCAAGTAATTGCTTGTTCCAACTTAGAAAATTGTCTTATATACGAAATTTCCTTAATTAGGACTTTTGTCTTTTAGTAAGTGCCCTCAGCATGGATTATCTCATCCAGGTCATCTCTTACTAGAACTATTAAAACACATCTATACTTCTATATGAAAGTCCTTAAGTGTCTGTTTATTATTCATAATATAGCCATTAACTTCTACTCAGTGCTTTTACATGTATATGCATTTGCAGAGAAAAATTCATGTAGTTAATAGATTCTTAATAATAATTCTTAATGTTCCATTTCTCAGCCATTCCAGATTTCTATATTAAATTTTATTTTTTTTTGTTGGATTGCTTTATTACTTAGGTGAACCACTGATTAATATGACTTGACTGAATCAGCCCAATATTTATGAAAACCCTTTTTTTTCCATGGGAATAAATATTTGCCTACTAAAAATGTAGTTACTAATGGAACTACTTAATATTTCTGTCATTAAGCAACCCTTGCATTCAGTTTTCTTCATGACATAAGTGACACATTACTGTGAGTGGATCCTCCTTCTGGTAACACCATTAAGAGATATGGTTGTCTACTAACATATCTGACTAAAATAACAACAACAACAACAATAATAATAGTTCACCCTTATTTCTAACCTAGGAAGACAAGTAAAGGTTTTTCAGTTGTCTTTTTACCTTCAGTTCAGCTGCATAAACTAAGGAAAGCATTTGAAGATCCATTTTAGTAGTGATAAAGACTAAAACTATTCTTATATACACGAAAAGAATGGGAAAATTGACATCAGCAACAAAACCACAAAATGTGTTTTGATGAAACTATTCAGCAACTGGAACTTAAGAGAATCCTCTGCTTCCCACACTCTTTTTAAAAATCAAACAACCCTGCCTATGAGTCTTTTTGTCCCTGGTTTATTGGTGAAGAACAGGAGCCATGAAGAGTATAAAAATCTAACCCAAGGCCTTTTTTCCAACAATTTGCAAAACTGATACTTAAGCTCAGGTCCATCCAAATCCAACCTTTACTTTCGCTTTTCTTTTTCAGGCTAATATTAAACTTTCCACTTGTACTCAAAGTCAGAAATTATTTATAGCTAAGAGAACAAAACTAAGGATGGGAATGTGGCCAGTGCAATTGTGTAAATGTGTATTCAGTCACATTTGATTTATAAGTAGTTACCAGCATGTCCTTGCATTATTGCAAGTAAATGTGTGTGGTGGGAATCAGTAAACCCAGGCTGTCAGAGAAGTCACCATCTCTAATCTCCAAGTATTTAAAGGCAATATATAAATGAAAGGCATCTAAAGAAATATTCCCAGAAATTTTGTGTTTGATAAAAAAACTATGAAAACTATGTGCTTGATAGGAAAGCAATATGTTAGTGACATAATGATGAACTTAGAATACAAATCTGGGTCGACCTTTATTTTTAGTATATCAATAACAAAATGTTTTGGCATAGTAAAGTTCTTCGTTATGTCAGTCTTTCTTCATTTTACTTAATTATTTATCTACTCTTTCATTTATTTTCCAGGAAGCATTGCCATCATTGTGCCTCTTGTCCTTTTGGTGACTTTGATAACCACCTTAGTAATTGGTTTAGTTCTTTGTAAGAGAAAAAGAAGGTAAGATTCGGTGTTCTAGATTAATATTCAATGAATAAATCATGCAAAAAAGTTGTAGAAATATATATGTATTTTAAAATTTCTTATGACATGATTTAGTTATTCCAACTACAATTTCCTATATTTTACAAATCCTATTAACCCTCTATTTTATGTGATTGTAATTTACTCAAATCTTCCCTCATATTATGTTGATAGAATATATAAATGGAGCCATTCTAACAAAAATAACAAGAGGTCATACTCCTTAAATTTCAGTACTCTTTCCCTAAAACAGCAGGGGCTTCTGAAGTATATTTTATTATATTACTGTGTATGACTAGTAATTTCAACAGAATTATAGCAAATATGTATGTCATGAATTGTGGATTTCATTAACATAGTGCATTTATTTAGTTTATATTTGGCTGGAAGTATCATTATTTCAAATGACATGAAGGTGCAGTTATACAGAGCCAGGAGGAATGAGCTGTCTGTGGGGTTTAATCTAGGAACTGAGAGCTGATGAGTCATTTTTTTTTTGAGTTGTTAGGATTCTATCATATAATTTTGGGATTAAAATAATCTATTTCAAAAGTTTCATCAGTGTTTTTTTAGGGATAGTTTTCAGATTGAAGGGAAAAAATTGGCATTAGCTGTTTAGGAGAAACTTATTTCCAGTATATTTTTATTAAATCAAAGTGATTGGAAAATGATTAATCAAAGTGTGAGTTTTGTGATAGTTAGAGACTTGACAAATATCTTTCAATTTATTTCAAATGCATTTAATTTATAAATGTCCTATCAGTTTAATTAAAATAAGTAAATGTATAAATATGATCATTTCATGTACCTTGAGTTGTGGTATTTATATAATTCACATTTATGTTACTGTTCACATATTCTAGGACAAAAACAATTAGAAGACAACCCATTATCAATGGAGGAATAAATGTAGAAATTGGCAATCCATCTTATAACATGTATGAGGTGGATCATGACCACAACGATGGAGGTCTTTTAGATCCTGGCTTTATGATTGATCCAACAAAGGTAATACAGCTTAAAATAATGGACAGTGAGCATGAACTTTCTTGAATCACAGCTCTGTTATATGGTCTTGAATTTCATCTTTTTTAATATCTAAAATTGTCATAACAGATTTTATGATTGATTGAATGAGATAGCCTCTTTTTAAAAAGTACAGTGTGATCGGCATTCACTTGAGGCATGCAAGTTAACATTAAAATGAACAGATATATTCACTCAGTTGATAAAGATGTACAATTCATTTAAAATATTATCCTAATGAAATATGCTGATGTGTTAGCATGTCTAAATATACATATTAGTGTAAACTGTTGGCTAATTTGTTTTCAGTAGAAAAAGAATATAATGCTTCATTGTTAAAACAAGTATTTCATCTCCAACAGTGCATCCTTGGAGAACCACTAAGCTGTGTCTCTTAATTTCTTTGTAATCCAATCACTTTTGAAAAATACTTCTCTATCTGCTATCTTATCCATACTGATGTGAAACATATCATCAATAGATATTCCTTAAACAGTCATAATCTATTTAAGGTTTCTGTTACTTCTTATTACTTTCCATAAGCTCACTTGATACAGTTATCCAGATAAATTTGCAAAGATTTGATTCACTAAATTATCTGAATATTTTGAATGACAATTTTAGAATATTTCCTTTGTTAAACTCTTTAAACCATTTTGCTAATGTTAATTTTCTTAGTCTATTTATTTATTAAATATTTATTTATTTTCTGATTTGTTAAAGAGACTTTATCTACAATACACTTTTAATCAAAGTGACCAATAATCAAAGTGACCAATCTACAGCTAAATGAGTTTAAACTTGTAATGACACCTATTCCTAAAGTAGTGGAATAGGGTCTCATATACTCAATCTGGTTCCAAATTCATAAGATTGTCTGAGCCAGAAATTGATGGTCAAATATTTTAATTAATATCAGTCAATCCTTTTTGCATGATTAAAATTTATACTCTCAGAGAACATTATAATGATGTTTTCCTAATTAGAAATAATTTTATCATTAACTAACTCCTACATCTGATTTTTTCTTGAAATAGATCCTGATAATCTTAGTTCCAGTAACTATACTTGAAATTTAAAATCTATATATACTGTGTAAATTATTATTTGATAATTTGTCCCTGAAGAAGAAAGACATTAAAAAATTATACTTCTGGAGATTCTTTGGTTTTTTCTTAGGAATATAAATGAAGTATAAGTAAAATATGAACTGTTAAGAGACTTATTTTAAACATATTTAAAGTACTTTTTACTTGTTTCATGAAGGAGAGTTCTCATTTTCCCTCATCAGTTTTTATTTCTAGTGATAGAATTAATCCAATTCTGTATACTTAAAGAGAACAGCTTTTTAGTATCCCATTTAAAAATTTTTACTCTAGGAGAATAAAACTATACTTCAGTGCCCTTCAAATATATTTTTAATGTACTTAGCACTTAACAGTCAATAAATATTTATTTACCAATTTGCTGAATGACTAACCAAAATTGCATGGAATCTGTTAGAGAAGGCTGAGTCTACCTGGCTCCTAATATTTGAATGTAAGTATGAATTGTTATCTAAGTGGTAACTATAGAACAGTCTTAAGAGATAGGGACGATAATAAAAAAAAAAAAAACAAAGGTCACATCAAAGCAACCTTAATAATGAAACAAATTTCATAGATTATCACTATGTTGCAGTAGCTTGGTATAAGCATGATATAATTAACTACAAAGAAAATGTTTGTACAATGTCATTTTTGTTATTTTGAAACTGTTTAACATTTCCAGTTCAGTGATGCCTTATACTCAAAAGAACTGAAATACTTAACTAAAATGAATAAAATAGATCTGACTATGGAAGTTACCACAGAATAATTTGAAGAGTCCAAAAAATAATAATTATTGGTTTTACCCCCAAATTCATCTCAATCTTTAATTAGATTTTCTTTTCTAAAAAATTATAATTAATTTCTGTATGATTCATCCAAATTCAAATTTACAGACTATAGACAATTAGAATTGTTTTGAGTACTTTCTGAATGAAACTATTCTGGAAAAAAAATTAAGTCGCAACTTTTAGTTGGTTTTATGTTTGAAATATTTTCCAGAGCCACTTATCCATTGTTAAGATTGATAGTTAACAAATACATATTCATTAATATTTGAATATTCAAAAATGCCCCTTTAGGGTTTTTTATTAGCATAAGTACTATATTATAAATATGACTGAAACAGTATAATTCTGTTCTTAGACCCAAGAAAATCTAAAGTTAATCACATTGCATGTAGACATAGTAAGCTTATTTACTAATTAATCCACTTTCAAACTAGAGTCAGATTTCTAAAACTACAAATGTTTGTTTTGATGTATGAAATGTGAAACTTAAATTTCTCCCTTAAAAATATAGCTTGATGATGAATCTTTAATTAGAAGCAGATATTCAAGTGTCCAGAATGAGCTGTCAAAACTCGAAACTTTTCTTAGTGTCAGAATTTTAAATGGAAAAGGCTGGTGCATTTTTCAGAGTTCTTAGCAAAGATAGTATTTCCTGGGTGAAGATAAGTTTCAATAGAACTATCTGGATATTGCTGCATGAGTACCATGTCTGTCGGTAAACTGAACATAATAAAAAATGTCTACCCATAAAGCAAAATTCGATTAATATTTCTTAAGCTGTGAAAGCTAACATGAAAACACTGCTCATGACCCAGGGCTAAAAAGGTTTTAATGTTATTTTTCTGATTTAACATGATTTGTATCAATGAAAAGTGGTTCCATGATATTAGATGAGAAACTAAAATTCTCTGTTTATGTACAGGCCAGGTATATAGGGGGAGGGCCCAGTGCTTTCAAGCTTCCACACACAGCGCCGCCCATCTACCTAAACTCTGATTTGAAAGGACCACTAACTGCTGGGGTGAGAGAAGAAATTCATTATTCCATATCCATTCCATTACCGAATCCCTCACAATCAGAATGACTATTTGACTTGGATAGAAGCTTGTCTTTAATTAAGTTTTTAATTAACTAGAGATTTCAAAACAGCATAAAAATTAGAGGTTTATATTATGTGTCCTGCCTATACAAGATAACATATAAAACATGTTATCATTCCAGGCAAGTTCTTAAGCAGAAATATCTCTTCTACTGGATTTCAAAGTGTTATAGACCATTTACAGTGAACTTGAGTATTTCAGTATTAGTTGTTCTTAGAAAAGAATCTCTAGTCAGGCCCAGAGGCGTATGCCTATAATCCCAGTGGCTTGGGAGGCTGAGGCAGGAGTATCACGAGTTCAAAGCCAGCCTCAGCAAAAGTGAAGCGCTAAGCAACTCAGTGAGACCCTGTCTCTAAATAAAATACAAAATAGGGCTGGGGATGTGGCTCACTGGTCAAGTGCCCTGAGTTCAATACCCGGTACCAAAGAAGAAAAAAAAGAAAAAAGAAAAGAATCTCTTGCAAGAATTTTAAACTGAATTATTTAAATTTGTTCAGTTTTAAGCATTTTTATTAGAATGCTTTACTTAACATAAGTAAATTTTATGTGCAAATAAATATATAGTTCCAAATATGTCATCATATTGAAAATTCAGAGATGGTCTAATGAAATCATTTTTATTTTTTTGAATTAGATAATATGTTTAGAGAAAGCTACTCTAAAATTACATAGCTCATTTTATGTAAAAAGTGAATAAGACATAATATCAGAATTTCTATGGATGAGTATGCTCTCTGTCTTCTCTTACATCAACTGCTTTTCATTCTCATTACCTAAGGTGTTTGTCTCCTTTGCATGGCTCAAAAATTATGTTTTCTTGTTGTAACTAAGCCTTAATGTATGCTTTTGGAAAAAACAGATGGAACCAAAACAACAATAAAAGCAAAAACTACAGAACATTTTCTTAAGTTAAGCTGCAATTTGTTAAACAATGAATGATGAATATGTTTACCACCTGAAAGAGGTCACTGCTACATGCTTCAAATTCTATCTCAAAATGTTTATGTCTAACACATAATATAACCATACTTCACAATTCTTTAGATGAGCCCAAAGACATGCCCAATGATGAATATATATAGGATCTTGAAGCAAGAATATTGTCATTTTTCAGAAGTGTTCACTGATGTATTCCTTTACTTTTGTCTTTATATGCTTGATTTGAATTCACATTGAAAAATTATAGATATAACTAATTAGGTGACTTTTTGTTTACGCATCTTAAGTTTCCATTGATGGGTATGCATTAGCAATAAGTGGTAGTGGTGGTAGGTCACAGGGGATATATGGCCTGAAAACATCACAATTCGTTTTAACCATTGACAATAAAATTTTAGTAAGCATAGCTTTTCCTATGATTTCTTCTGGCTTTTTGTTTTACATCAGAGCTCCCGTTAGCTTCACAAGTTACCTGAAAATCATAAAATTTTATTTTTACCTAATACCATGCTAAAGCAGACTAAAACCTATGAATGCAGAATTTAAAATTTCATTTAAATATGTCCTACTTACTATCTTGAGTGCATCACATGTAGATATTATACCATTGACAAACTACAAAATAAGTGATGTTGTTAACTGATAATAATACTGATAATAATATTATATTTATTTTTTCTTCTTCAGCCTACTAATTACTCCAACCCGGTGTATGCAAAATTGTATATGGATGGGCAAAATTGTCGAAATTCCTTAGGAAGTGTTGATGAAAGAAAAGAACTGCTTCCAAAGAAAATAGAAATTGGTATAAGAGAGACAGTGGCATAATCAGTGATACCTTTTATATGCTGTATAAATGTATAAAATATAAGGATTACTTTTGTATGTTCCAACAGTATTATACTTGTTTTGGCATCAGCATTACCTCTTCCTTTATCTTTTTCCTGGTTAATTGTTTTCTGAGTTTTTTGGGTTTTATTTTTTGCTGATGACTATTGATTGACCATTTGTATGGTATTTTTATGAAAAAGAACTGCACTACAGTACAATTTACAACAATGCTGCTGATGAAGACACACCTTTGAATTTGTTAAAAATTAAAAACAACATATTCCTTTGTAGTGTGAATATGAGCAATCTATTTTATATGAACTTTTTGGGTTCTACTTAATTAACAAAGAGAAACTCTGCACTTTTTCATTATATGGTCTGAAAGCTGTAATACAATGTCATTTTATTTTTTTGTTAAAATTGATGGAAGAATGATTAAATGGACAACTCTCTTCTTTGTGCCCATGAAGATTGATTCAGATACTGCTGAAAATATATAACCCTCACAAGTTCAGTGTCACCTGCTTTGAAATTAGCCTTAGATTGCCAAGTGGTAGATGAGGGAAAACATGAAAATATATATAAAATTAATAATTTGCATGTAAACAGATGATTTACATTTTCCAAAATTTAGTGGACTCTGTGATATACTAAATGCAAACACCCTGTACACAATAGTTATATATAGGTGGTAGAGCATAACAAAAAAATAACCTGAAGTGGACAGATCACACTTGCTATGGGATAAGACCTTTGGTTCTCCCTCCATCCTGAGGTGAATAGCCAGCCTAGAGCACAACAGGGCATCGGGTACTCATGTGTTATGTGCTTCTTCCCAGTCAATCACGTGCATTTTGTGGAAGATTGGCCCAACCCACCCCTTACCCCAATGAACATTATAGAATAATAGATAAGCACACAAATTGACAAGACAGAATTTCAATTATGAGGATGCATTCTTTTGCTAAGTCAAAAGGAAGAGGTAAAACAGCCCTTTTGGTGTAGAGTAATCGGTAAATATTTTCAAGAAACAGTATGACTAATCCCTTATTTTCCCTACTGAAAATATATTCTTCCGAGTTATAGAACAATTATCTACCCATTATCAAAGGTGGAGAGTATAAATGCTATTTGCTATTTGCTCTGGTAATCTGGTTTCTTTTTAGTTATATAAAACACATGTACCCCATTCACTTGTTTGTTTCTTTGTTCTCAAACTTTGATTAAACAAGTACAATTTATTTAAGGTGTATAAAAAAAGATAGCATTTTTATACAAATATCTTTAAAGGCACAAAAGATTTATTCACAAGTTGTGGAGGGCTTTTTGTTCCTCTGATAGACATGACTGACTTTTAGCTGTCATAATGTATTAACCTAACAGATGAAAAATATGTTTGTGGTTGCTCTTTATCCCTTTGTACAAGCATTAAAAAAACTGCTGTTTTATAAGGAGATTTTTGTTGTACTATGTGCATGCATACTACCTATTTCTAAACTTTGCCATATTGAGGCCTTTATAAACTCTTGATTTATGTAATACTAGTGCAATTTTGCTTGAACAATGTTATGCATATCATAAACTTTTTCAGGTTCTTGTTTAAGTACATTTTTTAAATTGAACAGTATTTTTCATTTTGGTTATAATAGTCATTTTGCCTATGTTTCTACAATGAAGTGTTAAATACTTTATAAAAAATTGTTGACTGACTTATTTAAATGAAATTCTACATATTTAAGTGCTTGTGTTGGGTAGTTTTTAAACATAAGAAACTCCTTTTGTTGTGTGGTTTATATCTTTCTAGAAAATTATTTCAGGGACCATGGTAGTTTTCATGTGTTTGGTTTTGTTTTGGGTACTGCAGACTAAACCCAGTAGTGCTTTACCACTAAGCTCATGCAAGTCTTTTAATTTTGAGACAGAGTCTTGCTAAGTTGTTGAGGGGTTTGCTTACTTACTGAGGCTGGCCTTGAACTTGTGATTGTCTTGCCTGCAGAGTTGTTGGGATTATAGGCCTATAGCACTACACCTGGCAATTTTTAAAAAAATATCCTTAAAATCTATTCTCCAGGCAAAGTTTGATTCCACCACATCATTTTTCAAACCACAACAGAAAAGGCACTAGGTATTCAGTATTAGCAATGTGTTAATGCAAATGTAATTACCATTTTAAAGAAACAGAATCCTAATGTTATCTTAACAGCTAATATTTATAAAAATGATGTCAAACTATTTACCATATACAGCTAATAATAGAAGCATCACATTGATGAACTGGTATTCTACCAGGGCACTTGTGAAAGCCATACTCAAATGAGCTCCTGCTCAATAGACCTCAGGCCTCATCTACAAGAGCCTTACATTTTAATGGTCATTATTTGCACATTAGCTGAAGTGTTCTGTGCTGGTTGAAAAATCCACATCAGAGTCTACAGTTTCTATTACACTACTTTTATACATTTTTTCAACTTCTGAAAATGTGTTCTTTTTCTATAGCTCTCTTTCTATTCCAATTCCCTATTACAAAATTTCATGGAAAAACAAAAAATCCAAGTGTATATATCCTCTTTCACCAACAAAATTCTTCCTAAATGATTCATTAAGATTTGGTGGAAGATATTTTATAAAAATTAATGCTTGTCACTTAGGACAGGTAAATCTTTGTTGTCTTTTATAGGGTAAGGTATTTAGCTGGATCCCTGCATTCTACTCAATCAGGAGATGTTAGAAACATGCTCCACTCTCCCAAAGTTGCAACAGCTAAAAATGTTTATGGATATTGCCAAATGTCTTCTGGGGAACAAAATTACTCTGTTAAGAACTGCTAATCTAGATCTCTATTCTGTCTCCCACTGTTAAATGACTCTCAGCTGGAACAGCTGAGTCAAAAACATCCCCTCATCAACAAAATCAAGGCATTCCCAAGTTTCGATTTTAATTCTTTAATGCTGATGATGCATGAATTATAATTATAGAGATTTATATTAGTAAAGTGCCTATGTAGTAAACAAAAAAAGACATGACTAAGGGAAAAAGTTGCATTTAGGAACTTGTAAAATTTTGCATAAGTTGACTCATTTTCATTTATGTAAATGTGTTTTATTTTGGTGTCATTGATAATTACGTTGTATTTTGGTTTGTGTTTTATCACATGCTTGTTTCGTTGATACTTAAGGTTGAGATTTAAACTCCTAAGTTCAAAGAATGTTACTTTCTGTTTTTATGATGGCTCAGATATGAAGAAATTTAATACCACATGCATATTATGGCAGAAGTAAGTGAAATATAATTAATTAACTTTTTAAAAACAGTCTTCTTTATTTTTTTATTTTTTGGATAATAAGGGAGGGAGCATGGGGGTATAAAAACAGTCTTTTTTATCATATGCCCCATTCCAGTTTTATTAGTTCATTAACAACAATTTTCTCAATACTAGATGACATTCTTAAATTTAATGCAGGTCAATAGTCATTATTTAAATATGAATGCTTGAATTGTAGCTTGCACAAAATAAACTAAAGCACTTCTTTATGAAGTATAGGGTTATATAGTTATATAGCAAGTATTTTGAATGTGAGATTAAAAACACAAAGGGTCAAAATCAATATGTTTTAATTTTTCTACCACATCTGTTGCTAACTAGACATATCCAGGAAGTTAGTATGTTCAGGAAAAGATAATTAAAAATATATGATGGGTGTTTTAATTAGATATACAGTTAATTTTTGATGTTGTCATTCCAAAGGCCCAGGAACATGAACCTTATACAGTGCTATGAATACATCTGATCTACAGAAAGAAAAATAGATGAAATGAGTTCTTTGATTTAACTTTTTTTCTAGTAGATACTATACTTATGTGGCTGCAAGTTATTCGGAAAAGAAATTGTTTCTAGTGAATCCCATCATTTTTTGTACCCAAAGTGATCAAAAATCAAAAGAAAAATTGGTACTAAAGATGGCCTACTTGATAAATTCTATGCTTAGAATGTATTCATTCTCTCTGATGGAGAGTCTGTTCCTTTAGTATGGGATTTGTAAGATATCAGTGAACTTAAGCAATGGAATTTCTGATACTTTAGTCATTTGTTCACTCCAACATAATTTTTCAACATGGTTTCTTCTGCAGTTTTAATACATAAGTTATCAGCCTCCTGATACAACTAGATTTTCAAGTTTATTTATGGAGTAGTGACCTCAAAAGCCAATAATATAATTGTTCTAGCCTTTAAAAATGTAATATTGATAGTGAAAACTATACATATCTCACTAGGGTCAGTAATCTAAAAATTTATAAGTGAGAAAATATTTTTTACACACCAAGTGAACTGTGAAATACAGTTAGAAATCAATTTAGGAGTTCAAATTGTAAGACTGTTCACAGAGATACTTCAAAAACAATATGCAGAATATAAGTTTACATTGACTTGACTGATGAAAAATTCACATATCTCAATGAATATTGTAAAAGCTAGGAAGATTATAACGGCAATAAGATTTTCAACTAAAGTAACTATTGTGCAATTTACAATTGTCATTTTTTGTTGTGGAAATCTATGTGAACACACACACATGCTCTGGCTTTGTTGTTCTATTATGAAAATGTCACTTATTTCCCATTTTATCTAACATTCAATCATATTTAGCTTTTCTGACTTTGAATTTCAGATATCATAACCATTAACCATAATAAAATGAATCCCTAGTTTTCAAAAGTTCTCATTTTTGCACAAATCATTTTAGTCTACACAATGTTGTAGACTTTACCATATTAGAAAATCTTCATCTCCCTCTTGCATCTCCTCTTTCATCCTAAGTGACAGTATGCCTAGCACACTATTTCATCAAAACTTGTATTGCTAATTATTACTGCAAAATATATTTTCATTTTAGGGAATTTAGGAAATATGCACGAAAAAGAAAAATATTACTCCCATAATAAAATTCAGAATTTGAAAATGTTTTCTTTCTACCCTAAAGTAAGAAATTTAACATTCTTTGATTCCCTTTCCCCAGATCACCTTCATGGTCTGTGTTAATACATTTTTATTTTATGTTTGAAACTATTTTTACAGATGCATTATTTTTGTATTCTTTCTCTTCTCTTCCTCAATTGCTTGGAATATATTCAATTTTTTAATTTAGTATTTCTCTTTAAAATCCAATTATTATTGATTTTTCTGTATGGAATTTTCATTGTTAATTTTGTTTATTTTGATCAAAGTCTTATTTTATCGATATATTTCATAAAAATACTTATAAAAACCTTTATCTGTAATATATTTGCTGAATTTTTACATATATGCAAATGTTTCTCTAAGGCCTTCAAATATCAGTGTGAACTCAGCTGAATAAACACTTATGGAGCTATACATTTTTCCTCCATAATTGTGTTGATATTGCTCTATTATTCACAGTCAGTCAGTGTTCTTAAGGCTCTTTTTAAAGCCAAATAGATTTTTATTATCTGTATCATTTAATGTTCCCAGACTTAAAACAAGACAAACACTTGCTTATAATTAAAAATTTATATATGTACATATGTTTATGTGAATATACATATAAACGTACATATACATTTATTGACATATATATATTACTTTTTTCAATCTATAATACATAATCCATTTTCAGCTGAAGTTAGTTTTCTTTATTACCTAGATACAAATTATTTTTTTAACAACAATAACAACAAAAATCTTTCATTCTTAGGTTAAATCTTTTAATTTTCTTCATCACACATATCAACTTAATGAATTTTTATGTTCTATTTCTTTTTCTGCACCTTTACATATTTTTAAAGAAACTTCTGTTAAAGGTTGACTCTGTTCCCTCTAAATCAATTTTTTTTTCATGTGTACACGTGCAACAGTGTGTGTGTGTGCACATGTGAAAGCTTCTCAGAGATGAATTTAATTTAGTGTTCATAGAGTTCTTTCTTATCTTACACAGCTTTCTTTTCAATTTATGTAGTTTTGTTTTGTTTCCTCAGTTACTGTATTTTCTCCTTAGGGTTTTCATAGTATCAATTTCCTATGTCCTATTCATGGTACCACCCAGTATTCAAAAGTTTTCACTTCACAAAAATTCTCTTAGTCTATCAAATGATGTCATTCCTTACCTTATGGAAAAATTTTTTTTAAAAAGTCTAAAGGGTGTTTTCATCTTTTCTGTTTACTTATGCTTAATTACAGAGAAAATGTTCTAGTTCCAGAGCTGCATGACTATTAGGTTTTACAATATTAATTTGTCCCCAATTTTTGTAAATTTAATGCTGCTTTAGTACCACCTTGGGCATATGAATCCATTCCTCCCTAACATATCCTTATAGATTTCTCTGGGAACTCTGTATAATTATTTTCATTCTCATGTAAGTATATATATTTTTATCAAACAGTGAAACAAATGATTTCATAAAATGCTATTGGTTTTGTATGCCATAATACTAGAGTTCTTCCTGAATCCACACTTTCCTGTATTTCAAGTATCTGATTCTACATTATGGCATAATATTTCACATTTACACAGGTAGAGCACCAATCTCCTTTAGGTCCCCTCTAGCACTTCCTTACCTTGATAACCATGCAGATGTCTGCCATATTCTTCTGGAAGCCTTATTTTCTGAAGGAAGTAGAAGGTTGGATCAAGTGAGTGCTCTACTCGCCTCAAGAAGTGCTGACTACCAAGTAGAAGGATGGCTGCTGAAACTTGTTCTTAGCTAGGTCCAGGATATTGCATCTGGAACCAAAGTATGGAAGAAACACAAATTGTTCCCTTATTATGCAAGGATTCAGATTTAGCAGAGAAAAATATTGATAAATCACCCCTGGTTTTTGTTTGACTTCTAGTTAATGCTGTTTCATCTAAAAAAAATCATCAATATTTTTGGAACTTACTCACCAGCTAAGAGAATACTTGAAATGAATGAGTCATAGGCTTCTTGTTAGATGATAGATGATTTTTGAAATGGCTAGTTTTCACAACTGTCATTAACACAAAAGTGTTATGAGCATTGTTTCCTCTCTCTACAGTTCACATTTTATAACTTTGAACTCATCTACAGAGATTAGCAGCTCTGTCTCTTTCTGCAAGATACTTTCCTTTGAAGGTACACCAGATACCTCTTGTTTGCCTCACATCTACCCCTCTTTCTAGCTTTGCTGTAGAAATTTGTTAGGTCTGAGTACAATTTGAGAACACTTAGCATCAGATGCACTTCATCTCTCCCTGTATTAGTTTTCTCTTGCTGCTATAAGAAACTACCATGTATTTAGCAGGTTAACAAAGCATATATGTATTAAGTCACAGCCCTGTAGTCAGAAGTCTGCATTGGCTTGATGAGACTCTGTGATCCAGGTTGCACAAAGCTGGAATCAAGTCAGCTGTCCGAGCTTTGAAATGGACACCCTTCTAAGCTTATTCAGATTGATGGCTGAATCCAGTTCCTTGCTGGCTATCTCATCTACAGCCTAGTTGTGCTAGGATGGTGTGGTAGGTTGCAAGGAAGCCAAAAAAAAAAATGTCCAGAGATAACATGGGAAATACATGGTTTATTGGGGAAAGCTTACTAGAGATCAATAATGACTCCACAAAGAGTTCAGTGGTGACCATCTGACAGATAGCACCTCCATCCCTCATAGTGCTTTGCCTTATAGTGCCTTTTCTCCCTCACAGAAATTTGCCTAATGCAATCAGCTGAATAAGTGACAGGTATCCTTCCCTTAGTACCTTCAGTTATTCACCTACTCCCACTCAAAGAGGGATTTTGTATGTTAGGCTGTAGAAGTGGTGACATCAACAGCATGAGCTTGCTTAGTTTATATGATCAACAATGAAGAAACAACAGTCCTGGTGTACATACAAGAAAGTAACTTCCTATGGATAACACTAACTTGTCCTAATTTCCAGTATGCATTAGAGAAAGCCAGTGCCCTTTAAGATAATAAGTATCTGAACTTTCCCTCCCATATTTCCCCTTATTCTTCCCTTAACATGGCTAGGTTTGTGAGAACAGAGAGGAGGCATTCAGAGACACAGTGTTTTACTGCCCCCTTATCATCTGAGGATCACTTTAACTCCCAGAGGCCTTTCTCTGGTCTTGCATATGGAATGCTCCCACCCAGATATATTTTATATCTTCTCCAAGCCTACAATTTCCCCAACTTACCAATTTGATGCATCCCCTGTTTCTTGCCAGAGAAAGCTCTATGTTGGAGTACTCATATTATTAGGATAACCTAGATAATCAAAAAGAATCTTTCAATTTTTGTGTCAATAAAACTAATTATATCTACAAATTCCCATTTGCAATAGGGCACATATATCATTGAAGACCAGTATTTGGCCTTAAATATACTTTTATTTTCTTCCCTGCAGCATCTCAGGCAAAAGGACTATTTTCAAATGCCATCACAATGATGTTAAAAAAATTTTTCCCTTATATTCTTCCATGCTTGTTCCACATCCTCATGGTTCACCATCATATTAATCAGTAATTCCCCACTCAAGCTAATTTTAGTTGACATTGATTATTTATCTGATGACAATGAAATGGGGAACAAAGATATCTACAGTAACCCAACTGGCACTCATGTTATGTGCAACTTAGAGATATAGTTTTTAATGCTCCATAGAGCAAATTAAAAGTCAATTTAAAAATGCACCCATTCCATTTCTTAGCTAATCCTGTTATTCATTTTCTCTTTCTGTTTAAAATGTCTCTGAAGAACAAATTTTATTTCCCATAGTGGTGACCAACCGGATAACATCCACTTGTAGGTCTTTTCTATTATTGCACATTTCCAACATCCATTCCACAGATCACAACCAAATGTAAATTGTGTTTTTAAAAGACTTCTCTCAGGCCTTTTAAGGTAACCTTTAAAAGTAGCCTTTTAAGGTACAGATTCAGGAAAGATTCCAACACAGAATTCTTACCCATCAGATTTAATAAGCAACCAATTATTGATGATAAATAAAGTAGTGATTATCCCTAGCATTCAGTGCCATCACAGACACTGAGACTATCACTGGTGGTAAACTGAGATAAAGGACAGAAGATAAAATGTTGCCTGAAATGTAAACTGTGACCCTTGAGTAATATGAGGACTATAGAAATTATGATTGTGATGCTAGCTGATGTATTCATACTTTAAGAAGAAAATAAGAGGCTCAGATTAGCCAAAAAAGCAACTGAAGGCAGATTACATAGGTCATAAGGGCAAACTGAAAGTATTTAAAAATCCACAATCTCCAACAGCTTCAGGCAGAATGTACTGAAATTTAGATTTGGAAATTCATTTTAGATGGAGTAGAGCTACAAAGTTGGAATTCTTGGAAAGCCTTCAATTGCATCATAGATAAGGCCAGTGATCTTAGAGAAAGTGAATTAGGAAGGGATATTTGAGTGGACAAATATGACTATTTCAAAATTCCAAAATTCTCTAAATCCTCCAGACCCACAAACCACATGATGTATGCCAGAAATTAACCTGCTTTTATATGGTTACTCTGTAGAAACTTCAGCTG